AGCTGAATGTCACACCCGAAATCCCCTTGTCGACCAATCATAAGTCGGGAGCCCTTGGTAACAAATTAAATTTGACATGACAAACGAGCAGTATTGAAATCACAATGGGGTTAAACAAACCCTTTTTCTTATCAATCTATTTTATGTAGTCCCCATGTGGCATTAAAAGTGCGGTCATTTTCACGACTAATCTTCTCCTCTCCACATAGCGGTGAACATAGTAAATTTATCTAATTGTCGAATGGAAAGGAAATTGATTATTTCATTTTCGATTCTACTTGCATGATATTAAATTGAAAACAGTCCGCGATATCAGAAGTATTTGTGGTATGTCAAATGTCCTTGGACTGTGGTAAACGTCAACCAGGTCGCGACAACATTCAATCCGCCGAGGTTTTCATTTGTCCTTAAAAAAGATCTTTTGTAATCACATTTTCTTGAATGGTTCCTTTATCGTATGATTTCTAGAAACTTGTAGAAGGCAGTAAACGCATGTCTGAGTGTTTTTCAAAGGGTGGTGCCTTTGGCTTTCAATCAGTTATTTATGACAGGTGCAATTGCGCCAGCATTTTTCATTTGGATTATTATCTTTATATCATGTCTAAAAACGCGGGAAAAAGTTAAGTTAATTATATATTTTTCCCCTTACTTTGAACTTCTTTTCGTTGCCGTTAATATTAATTGTTTCGGTGAAGAAAGACTTACAATATAGCATTAAAATCCTGGTCATTTTCACGACTAAACTGGTCTTCTGACACGCAGCTGGTAAATATTACTAAATTTAACAAGTTGTCTGGAGGAAAAGAGATAATTAAATTCACCCTTGATCTTACAGTGCAAACAGGGATCAGTAGATTTACTAATGGAATGTTCGTGCTCTCACGCACAACCAAAAAACTGTATACTGCCAATTAGCAGATGACGGACTTCAAACGTTTGTGAGGCTTTTTAGATATTTTTATTGGTTGCTGAAAAAGTCTATATATGATGTTTGTTGATTTTCGTCACATGAAGAAGGCCTAAGGCAGAAGAGTAGTGAAACAGAAATGAAGACAGGGCTCAAACACTTTGGCGAAATCATAGTCGAGGAATATTTTGGCTAGATTTTGTTAAAGTCCGCCAAATCTTCGTACCCTATGGATTTGCCTGCATGATGTTGCATAATCTTCCATGGTCTTGCATAATCTTGTATGACCTTGTACAGTGCATACAGTGATCATTAGAAGCATTTGGAATTTGAAATGTCCTTGGCCCACGATAAAAGTCAACCAGGTCGCGAAAAAAGTCAATTAGCCGTAGTTTTCCTTTCTCCTTTAATGTGAAAAATAAATAATCCTTTGTAATCACAATTCTTTAGGGTGCTTATTTCATATTATTTTAAGAAACTTGTGGTAGGCAGTAGACGTCTATCTAACTGCTTTTCAAATGATCAGCCCATGAGGTGTCAATCAATTATTTTTGACAGGAGAAATCAAACATTATTCATATGGAATTATCTTTATACCAAGTTCAAAAACCGCGAGAAAAAGGGAAAGTTTTTTTTTTTTTTCTTACTTTGAACTTCTTTTTGTTATCATTAACCTTTAAAATCTGGGTAAAGAGTCACAATATGGCATCTTTATTGTGTTTATTTACCGAAACATTAAAGGACTAAAGACAAATCATGTGAACATATTACTAAATTTAGCAAGTAGCCCGGAGGAAACAAGATACTTATATCCACCCTTGATCTCACATTGCAAACAGGAAACACTAGATTTGCTAATGGATTGTTTGTTTCGCGCGCACGTCGACCAAACAACAACAACAAAAAAAACTGTTCATTTTCAATCGGTAGATGACGGACTATCAACGCTTGTGTCTTTGATACTTGTTTTGGTTTCTGAGAAACTATTTTGAAGTACACGAATAGAATATTTGTTGATCTTCGTCACATGAAGAAGGCCTAAGACAAATGGTAGAAATATTAAAACAGGCCTCAATCACGTTGGCGCAACTATAATCGAGAATATTTTGGCCATTTTGTTTTAATCCGTCAAATCTACGTACCCTATAAATTCGTTTAAAGCAACCTAATCCACGCAAAAAAGCCCAAGCCTTTGGCTCGTATAGTTTTGCAAGATTTTCACACCTCATAAAGAGGTTGTGAACGCAGTCATTGCCCCCAACCAATCAAACACAAAGCTACACAAGCTTGGAACAACGGAAGTTCCAATAAAAATAACCCATTGAATGGAGATTCGAGGAAAATTAATTACTGATTTGCATCGTTATCGGAATTCTTTGTGCCCTCCTTTGTGTCAAGTCGTGGAGGCGGTCAGCAAATCTCTGGGAAATGACTAAGGTGACCAATATCCGTTAAATCCAATTATTTCTTTGTTTTCTGAAGAAGAACTTTGTTTAACAAGTGATATCCAGTTTTGAAGGGAGAAAATAGTAACTCGATACAATACCTTTTGTTCGTGGCTGATCGAATGATGTTCTACTGTCGAGTCGACGTATAAGCCTACTACCACTGGAAACGGCCCATTTTTTTTTGTTTTGCTTTGTTTTGTTTTGTTTTGTTTTGTTTTGTTTTTTTTGTGCTTTTTTGTTTGGTGATTCATGATCATTCCTCACTTTTTGACTTCCCAGAAACTCAGTGACCCTAAAAAATACTGCGACCCTAAAAAAATATCGCGAGCAAAATCAAGGTAAGACGGCCAGTTTGAATTTCGATTTCTTGGTCAGGTCAGTGCCCCGGGGATAAGGGTGTGCCGCTGGACACTGAAACCCTAAGCCTACACTAGACTACGATCGATTGATTTTGCAACCCTACTCTAGACTAGGCACCAACTGAGTCCAAGTTTTCGGCTGCTAAAGTTTTGCGAAGGGTGTTTAATTAAGCTCAGTCGCAAATCTCATAGATATTTTCATTGCGGCCCATCGCGAAGATCAACGAATTTTCCGAAGGCGGAAAATAGCCATAAATTTGCTCGTAAAGCTCCCATCGCCTCCAGGTTTCACTTTTATATAGAGTATGTTTGACAGCCGGCAATCGAATATTTCTCATTGCGACCCGTCAAAAACACTGCAAAACAATGAAGCCAAAACTCAAATCGCTTTACTTCGACTTTACTAGCAACACGACCTAAACCTCGACAGCAACATAGAAAAAAGTTACAAAAACAAAGCCAGGGAAGGCGTTTTTAGTGTATTTCTATTCCTCAGTGAAAAATTTGAAGCTACATGAAAATTTGAAATTCGAACCAAGTAAGGCATGTTTAGAAAGCAACGGTAACAATGTGACAATGTTTATACTCTTCCTATCAAATGTATACAAATTTGAACGCAAACCACGTTCTGCCCTCTTTTTGTTTAGTGGCAGTAGCAGTAGTAGTAATAGTAGTACTTTATTTATCCACATTACACTGAGTTCGAGACTCATTTAAATGTGAACGTGCTAAGTAATTAACCTCAAAATAAAAGCATGCTAAATTCATCAAATACTATAAGTTTAAATATATATATATAAACTACTCATGTCATCATAATAATAAGCTAGATTATAAACTAAGAACTAACTTAAAGTATTACATGTACAATTTGAATTACGCAGAGACTGCAGCAGCAGATAGAAGACGCTCCTCTTGCTTTGTTAGTGTAGGTTGTTCCATAAGCGTGAAGTTATGTAGCGATATTGGAGTTATGGATATACTTTGATGTGAAGCGAGACTGATTAAGCTTACAATATCCCCTGAGGTCATTGCAACGCAATGAAACATTACCTTGATGTGGTTTGGCCCCGTATTAATTAAATAGAGATTTATTAACGGAAGGATTGGAGCTAATTGGATGTTCCAGGGACTTGATGTTTACTTAGATCACTATATTGAAGAAAATACAACTGGAAAGCGGAATGTTAGCATTTCCGTCTGGATTTATGTCTGCGTGGATAGCCATTCAAAGTTGATGGCATTAGCTATAGCACATCGACCAAAGCATCCCGCCTGAAAACCTTTATATTTCTTGTTTTGGTTTAAAGCTGCATGATTTTTTTGGCTATTTATCGTATCATGGCTCTAAATCTTAACGTACTTCGGAATCAGCATTCACTTAGCTTTCAAACGGCGTATTTCATTTTGAAATTTGTGGAGATGTTGTGGAGACAATTAATTATTTACATGAGTTGGTTAGCCCTGTTGACCGGTTAAGAAAGACGACTGAAATGAATCGAGTTGCAATTCAGTTAAGAATACAGTGAAATTCGGCGTGATTTTTTAAAGCTCTTTAGCGTATCGTGGCCTGTAGATCATTACGCATAGCAGAATCTATATTCACCTAGCTTTCAAATGGCGCTGTTAACTTAGGAACCTGTGGAGATTTCGTGGAGAAAAAAAAAAATTACATCAGCGAATCGGTAAGCACCAGTGAATCTATGAACATGTCTTGTCACGCTGCGACCCGACTGGCCGACCCGAGTTATAA